TTTTGGGAGGTGTCGTATAGCCAGCGGGAGGAGAAGGAGGTCATGAATTGTTCTGGTTTAGTCATATGCAGAATTAATATTTATATTTACCAGTTATACCAGTTCACATTTTTTGTACAAATTTTAAAATCCATGCAGTTAATTCACTCTTACAATATATTTTAGTGATATGCAAATGTACAGGTTGGTAAACTTTGTGTGCCTATGGAATATTTTTTTTATTTTAAATGAGATTTCATACGAGTACATTGTTTCTCAATAATCACAAAGCAATGCAACAGTATGTTTACAAATATCATTACCCTATTAGAAGCACATTTCCAATACAATCGTACATAAACAAAAAATTAATGAACTACTAAAAAAGCAAAGGCAGTATTTGATGAAAGCGGATTTTGCTTATTTTTTTTTGAGAATAAATGTCTACAAAGGAAAAAAAATAGCGTTGCCTTATAGATGAACTAAGTTACAATAAATTTTCAATTTGATTGTTTCAGTTACAATATGAACCTAACTACTAATGACACAAGCATACAGCAGTAATGAATTGACACCATAACATAGCTTGAACATGTTAAAAGTGTCACACTCATTCCATCCCACATGATGAATTAAAAACATGTACAATACATGAATTTCTCTTCTTAAACATAAAATTCAAGACACAATATCACATGCTCCATTTTTTAATGATAACATGCCCCTAAAAACAATGGGTTATTTTTGATATTTATTAATTTTTTTAAATGCTAACAGTACATCTCTCAACATATATATAAAAAAATTATATAATAAAGTTTGTGTTGTATAGAGAACATTGTTGTCAAATATGTATCATTTTATTATTATATCCGTCCTTGAAGTAGTTTCTAGTTTTAGGTTTAGAGAGCTGTGAATTTTCATTGTTTTTATTTGCTAAATTCTTATTTTTTATGATCACGGCTGGTGAGATTATATCTGAAACACATCCAAACCACATACCCGATCAGAGTAAATGATAAAACCATGCACAACAATGATGCTAAAATAAAAATTGAATTTAAAACAAATGAGCGTGATAACATCAATTTAATCACTATAGCAGCTATGATAAGGGAAATGAGGAATGTGTTCTGAACAGGAAATAGACACTAAAACGTACATTCTTTAATTTAATGTGGTTTCTTAGTATTATCACCAACTGTACATGTAAATGAATTCAGTGTTGTGATGTGTCAGCTTATAAACACATATATACCTCAATCATGAATAAAACAACATATTAAAATGAATTTTCCATACCTGTTGTATTTCCCTAGCCTCACCCGGCATCATACCACCTCCAATTCAAAGTGACCTACTCTCCAAATTAAAATACCCCATCAGCTATTTGTATACCGAGTTAATGCTTAATGTTCAAATATTGAAAGATATTCTCTCTTGTACCTACTTTGCATGAATCAATGAAATTAATGCAAATATCATGAAAGGACATCGCTGAGTACTCGGCAATTTAATTACTAGTCCGTCTGGTTACATATTTTAACAATATATCTCATTACAATAAATTAGATTAAGTGTCATTAATAACACCGTCACAAGTGACTAAAAACAAAAATTCAGTTAGTGGCACTCAACTAATATTATTACAAGATACGTATTTCAAATACTGTAAATTTATTTTCTACTTTGAAATGAATACAAAGTTACCATTCAAATTTCCCATTGTTATGAGAAAAACAAAAAAAAACGATGATGGCTGTCCAAGTCACACAACAGTGAATAGATACATGCAACCACATCACGTGTAAAATTATTGTATTTTTCAAACACAGTTTTTAAGGAACTCTATGGAATATGATCACCGATGCTACAGAGAACCGAAATAATCTATTTTGCTCATGCCTGTGTGCTTGTAGGACATTGAAGCTTTCAAAGATGGTTGCTACATGTACATTCAATTACCTGGCATCATTCATAATGATCTATAGCCTTTAGACATGGAAAATTATAATAATAATTATTAACGAAAATTTAGGTCAAAGTTCAAGCTCATTAAATATGACAACATCATTCACATGTTTTAACCCACATGTTCTTTGTGTCACAAGTGTCTATTTAAAATAATCGCCCTGCTAAAATCATCATCATTGAACACAAACATATTTTATAATTTCATATCAGAATATGAGAGTCAAAATATTTTTTTTGGAGAGACATTTTTTTAAATTAAAATATGATCATATTACATTGTATACCAGTATAAACAATATCAATTTAGAATTTTTATTTATTTTCCTTCTCCATCCTTACCACTTGATAATTCTACATTCATTATTATTATTTTAAATAAGTGTAATATGGGAACTCTTCAGTTATAGGGTGGTGGTCCGTTGTTGCACATCTTGTTCGATATGGGATTCCTACACATACACAACACATGTAAAATACATTGTTTGTTTGTTTGTTCCACCGCACTTTCAATGTACATATTTATAAACTACAGTACCTGTATAGTATGAATGTATGATTCAAAAAATAAATGATAAATTTAAAAAAACCAGTAATCTATATTATTAGTTATTGGTATTGTAAATGTCAATATAGGGCACGTTTTCATATTGGCAACACGCTGGCGTTGTATATGGTGACACTTGTCGATGTATAAACTTTGGAAATCTCCTCAAAAACTACTCAAACAAAACTGATTTTTTTTCAATTTAATTACTTTTCTGGGAACTTTTCTTTATTTCAAGAGTGATACGTACATGTATGTAAACAAAGAAAAACACATCTTTTCGTTGGCATTTCTTTTACTCTGAATAAATTGTAAATGGGGGAATAAACAAGTGTTTGCTCACAAAAATGTAATAGAAAATTCAACATATATGTCAATGAATTAAGGATATATTCATCTATAATTTGTATATTTAGATGTGATGCCATTTTTATTAAAAAAGTCACATTTTGATAATTATTTTGGACAATGAAAGTCATGTAATTGATTTTTGTGTTTGAAAAATGTCTTAAATGTAAATACAGCAAAAATCATTGAAGTCAAATAGTGACTAATTTTTAGGACTGAGGGCCAAGTCAAAGGTTTGCATTAAAACATGTATGTGGAGAATTAAAGTTAAAGAGATACATGTACACAGGATGGCAATTATGTATGACGATATTTTAAGCACAGGAACTCATTTTAAACTTAATGATTATCAACTTACAGGTACTGAAATTATTTGTTAGAAGCGCATTCCTAATAGAGGTACACATAAACCAAAAAATTGCATTTAGTGTGAAGTTGATCTGAAAACATGACTTACTATGACAAGTTATTCACCGATAGTGTATGCGCTACTAACAGAGCAAAAAAAGTTACCCAAATGTGTAAACTAACCAAGCAAATCCCAGCATCTGATCGTGCCTATGATTACAAATTAACAACAATTTCAATTTAATAGGTTGTCTGAAAATCACACTGACTCTCATTAAAACCTTTGTTGAAATATTATTTGGTGTCCGGTAACAAAATAACAGGAAAGAAAGAAAGCATTCCTAAGTTTTCTGCCCAGTTTTTGTTACTTTCTTCTCCTGCGGTTAAAACCACATGAACTGCTGATCAGTGATGTAACCTTTGCCACCAGCAATCACTCATAGTCACAGATTTAAGAGGAAACACACATTTCAGAAAACAAACAAACCAAGTATGGACAGGTGCAGTATGCGGTCACTAGTTTGACATAATATTAACCACAATGTAAGTGAAAGACAATAATTACTGATATCTTAAGTTTATTATCAGTATATGTGGTAATAACTTGATACAGTTATAGGGATTACAACGTTAACTTGAACGAATCGCCATGGTAATTTTAAGTAATTCTATAATATATTTTATGTTATACTTGACTGATTACCAATAGAAGTATTAAGTACAAATTTCTGTCAAAAGGAGTCACGGGATTGGGTTTAATATTCACAAATGAATAAAAATTGGTACACAATATAAAAAAAAAAGATTATATTGTTTTGAGTCTTTTTTGTTATAATATTATTTAACTACAATGTATCTGCATGTACCGGTACTTATTAAAGTAAACCCCCCTCCTCCTGGAAAATATAGTTTTTATGACAATTAAAATTGATTTTCATGCATATACATGAAATTTCAATATTGGTACTATTACAAAAATGAATGAACATTAACTTGAAGAGTGTTATTTTATATTCTGCCATATATACTGCAGTGTTCCATCTCTCAACACTGTCCTGGCCAAGTTGGATCCAGACAGACATTTTTCAGAGAGTATCAAAGTACAGAGAACACAATAGTTAACAATACATTTTGTTGAAGTTGAGAATAATAAACATAGATAGGAATAATAAAAGAGGCTATCAGTTTTCATTTCACATGCCAAATAATCACCTTATTTGGCAAGAGGAACTTTGATTTCAAAAGATAAACAAAGCAAAATTATCACAGGAATTACTATTGTTTAAATATTTATCTATCTTATTTGTTTACATTTGTTTTATCTATTTTTTAATATGATCAGGAAATGGTGCCATTCACCACAGGGTTTCCATTGAATAGATCTGAACACCAGGTATACAAGTCAACAATGTACTATACATTCAATGATTTGGTCAGTTTATAAATTAGCCAACTAGCTTATAAATTAGCCAAGTAGCTTATAAATTAGCCAAGTAGCTTATAAATTAGCAAGCTAGATTATACACAGACCAGTTATGAACTTAGGAGGTTTATAACGTCTAATTTGTGTAACTGAGAACAGTGTAAATGTAACAGTCTGGGTACCCAAGTATTTCATTGGAAATCTTGACAAATAAGTCTGGCAATACTATGCCTTCTACATCGTACACTGTATGTAGCAATCAGTTTCCTTACGAGAGATTAAACAGGAATAGAATCATATAATTTAGTTGCACCAGAACGGCCTGTACAATGAAGAGCAACATACTTCACAGAAAGGGAAAGGGGTATAATTTAGAATTCTTACCTGAAACAGTGAATCATCCTCTATCTTCCCATTATCCTCCTCGTCAAATGACTCTTCATTGCTGCTACGACTCGGCTCTGCGGAATCAGATGCTGCATCACTTTGCTCCTCATCCGATGAATAACTGGGTCTCCTTACACCGTGAGACACAACCTCCTCAGTGAAAGGATCAGATCTGGGAAAGCGCATCCCAGCATCGGCCGTTTGATATGTATCTTTTGGGACATGCATCTCCTCTTCCAGCGACTTTCTCCTCACTTTCAAATCAATATCACTGCCCCCCACAGGAGATAATGGAATCTCAGGTCTATTGTCTCGTAAGATAATAGCTTCAGATGCATTAGATATTTCTCTTTTTGACTCAAGTGTGTCACTTTCTCTAACAACTATATAATGTTCAGTCACTTCCGATCCACTTGGACCTGGTTCCTCTAGACTTTCTGTACTTCCTTGAAATCTTTTCACTAAACACTCCACTGATGCTCTATTCTCCGTCGGCATAGATGGTCCAACATCCATATCATCCGGTGGAGTTGGCGGCAAATCAGGCACTTGTACGTAACTGCGCTTCTGTACTCCCTGGGCGTCTCTGGGTACGTATGTAGTCACCGCTTGGGGTTTGTGAGCTGGAGAGGAATCTGATGAAGAGGTTGCACTGGATTCCGAAATATGCAAATGACTTGCAATAACCTGAGAAGCATCAATCCGTGGACCCGGTTTGCGGCTTGGTGATGTATCCGGAGTTGAAGTATCATCTTTACTCATGGAACTAGAGTCATCGTCAAAGTCTGGGTAAATATCCGGGTCATTTTTATTCAATGAAATAATCTCTGATGGAGAATATGATGACTGCTTCGGTGTACGAGACCAGCCGCCAACACCACCACCACCCGTGTACCTGTCAGGCAAGGATGCTGATTTTGGTTCAATATATGATTTGCTTGATGGTTGGGTGACAGTGGTTGTGTCTGTAGAGACTACTTGGGGTGGTTGTATAGGAGCGGTTTGTTTTACAGGTTCACCAGTTATTGTTAGACCTGTGATGCTGGTATACCGATCAGGTGATATTATGGTAACTGGTTTGGTTGGTTTCCAATCCGGACCAACTTCTTTTTTTGGATGCCTAGACTGATTCAAATTTTCATATGATCCACTTCTTGTTGCAGTAGAACGATTAAACAATTCGTGTGGCCGCTGCGCATCTGCTGATCCAGTGTATCGCTTCTTTGTAACTGGGGGACTGGCTGGGGGGCTGGCACCATAAGCTTTCTTCCTCATTGGTGGACTATTGGTAACTTTTTCAAACAAAGCTCTAGCACTAGTAAAGCGGGCACGTAGATCAACTGGCAATTCCTCTGGACTTGCTTTATTTTCACCTTGCTGCTGAACAGTGGTATTACGGTTTGTGTCTTGTTGTACATGTACATGGTGTCTGGCAACTCTTGTCTCCTGTTTTGGATCAGCTGAGTGGTAACTATCACGCTTTGGTCGATCTTGAACAGAATCCACTGGTCCAGCAGGACCAACTTGGGTACTTGCAGCCCAACTACCACTCCTAGCCCTGCTACTAGGTATAGTTGCTTTTGTACCACCAGTCGCGGCAGCTGGTTCATCCGTCATCGACATAAACATGTGCTTCAACTTGCTAACGTTAGCGCCCGTCTTGGCATGGTAATTCATCTCCGGTCTTGTTACACGGTGTTCTTCCTCGTCGGCGTGAGCAGCATATCCACCAGCTTGCGCTTTCTCATAATCCCTCGTCATTTTGACTTGATCTGATCCGCCCCTTGCATACGCCGATCGCTGTCCGTCCGTGCTATCAGCTGATCGTGTGAAGTCCGACTTCCGCATATAGTCACTGTTTTGAGATTTCAGAGGTCGGTAGTTGTCAATTCTTTCCGTCATGTCACAACAACATAGCGACAAAAGTTACTTGTAGGCCGCAAAATCATAAACAAATATACGTTTATAACAGGCCCGGTTATACTATCTGTTCAGTAAGTAGCAATCTCGCTCTAAAAACAAATACGAGAAGTGGGGGCTCCCGATCTATTTTGGGTAAGTTCAAATCTGCATACACACATTCACGATCTACACCTTGCACTTTACTTGGGAGGGTGTTGGCTTTTTACAGTGGCACATACCTGGTGAAAAAAAAACAAGCGTTGTAACGATATTAAGCGAACGCTGCCGTTCTTGATAGTTACACGGATTCCGATTTGGCGTTGTTTTGCTAGCGGCCCCCAAAGCTCGACGATACGCCGATGAAAACTATGCCACTGTGAATCAGAAGCAAGGATCGTCCGCCATTACTGCACACAACGACGTGCGCACGCAACGGGGGTGGGCCTCAGAACTCTTAAAATAGCCCGGATGTAAAAGTAAACAAACGTTTTGTGTAACTCTCTTGTTCTAAAAATACTACACCCAGACTACACCGTAACATTTATTTATTTAATATTTGTTCGTTTGTTTATGTATTTATTCATTTCTTTAGCTGTTTATTTATTCAGCTATTTATTTATTTACCTGTTTATTTATCTATTTATCATCAACCTCACTTTCCAGTTGTTTTAATTTAATGTCTTGTTTGTTGCCAAGATGTTTATTTAAATTATGATAATCTTCTAGTATCTTATTGTAAGACCCTATTTCATTGAAGAAATATCTCATCGCTGATGTATGGTAAACCTCATGCAGGCTTGATTTATTTTCTGTTTGAGCGATGCATGCTGGGAGACTTCTTCCGCCATTTTGACCTTGTTCGTCTGTGTCTTATCAGTTTCAAAAGAATTCCGATGAAAATTGCTATAATTGTTTTATGAAAACCATACCAAAATGACATACGTGTTTGTTATAGGTAAGTCCTGCATTACATTCGGGTTATGCCTCGTGATAACGAAAATACTTCAAAAAAAGTGTGTAATTAAATAGTGTCAGTGTTGGTTGTACCATGGAGCTCCGTTGTACTGAGACACATCGTACACTTTTCAAGCTCAGAATGCAAATAGCTGTAATAACCCTATTCTACAATAGTCTTTATTCGTTATCATCTTCATTTCTTGCACCACATGAACATTTTTTAACATTGCGATAGATGCGAGTTTGGCAGCTTGTCGGTTTAAGCAGGGAGCTCGCTGGTTTAAGTTAACCATTTTTCACATTCCTTTGTTTTACGTGTTGGAATAGCCGCGAAACCACGGCTAGTGTTGGAAATGATATACTGCTGTGCATTTCATTATTTACCTGTGAGTTAGCTTGACCTGAATTGACCCATCTATCGATTATCGATGTTTTCGTTGAAATATGTCACTGCAGAAAGAATTGTGTGAACGTTCATGGTAATGTAAATTGCTTTGACACTAGTTAATTAAAAGAAAGTGTATTATTGGAATTTACTGTGTTCATAATAGACACTTTCCATAGTGTCAGTTTGTTAAGCAATAGAATCAATACACATACATTTGAAGAATGCAAGTACACATTAGTCGTGTTCAGACTATGCCAAGTACGGGCTTAAGTTTTAAGTAGGTATTTTCGTATTGGCTAGATCCAATTGCGTCCATGCACAGGAGGAAACAGCAATTAGCAGGAGCTAACGAATGGCCAAAACTTGTGAGGAATATACAAATCTTCAGTCATTTTAACTACCGGTATGATTACTCAGTACATTAACCAAGAAGGTATACCGTTAGTTAGTTCTATGGTTAGAAAACAATAATAAATCATATTCAGAAAGTGCAAATTGCAGAATAACAGGAAGTAGTCTGAAGTTCTCTTCGACAGTTCATTTTTTCTCAAAAATTATGTCACTACAAGTGTGTGCATTGATTTTCATGTTGAAAATGGCATACTGAAATAAACAGTTACATGTATGAATATAATAGTAAATCTTCTAAGTTGACATCGAATATAATGGTGTTTTTGGTGTGACTTATCACAGATGTGCAATGGTCATCATCTTTTTTCTGACTGGGAACTGCTCTGTCTAGCTAGTCTATGTGAATGAATATGTCAATTCTCTCATCTTTTTTAGTGAAATTTGTTTTGTTGTTGAATAATATAACTTCAATTCCTGTTTTTGATTCCATACGTTTCGTGATATCGTAGTTTTGATGTCTGTGTGTTTTTTTTGTGGTGTAAATGGCTGTGCTTTATAGTAGTATACAATGCCTGTTTTTCACAGTGAATCTATGCATATTTTAATTCTTGACTTCTGTTACGACTCTGAATTTGAATAATTACACCTCAATAGTTCTGCTTTTGGCTTTCCATAAAGGCCTTTAACTTTTATCTTGTCTGTTTTGTGTACTTGTACATTGAATTGACCACATAATTGTTAACTAAATCTTTCCAACTTCTTAACGAAATGTAGTCAAAATCTACTCTTACATCACTAACAGTTTAATTCCTAATAAAATTTTTGACGAACACTGTTGTCAGTGTCCTCACAATGCTTTACGTGTACCATCAAATCAAGGAAAACTAGAGGTTATATGACATTCTATGTTGAATTGTTCATCAATTTCTATGTTACTACCCTGGTAATATGCAAATTAGCCACCAAGCTTCAGTACTGACAGAACACTGACATGAAGGTGTAGCAAAAACAATAACCACCATTTGCTGTGATTTTCCATTACAGGAATCATCCTGGTAGTCATTCCAGCCACAGTCAATGGTCAGAGTGTAGCAGTTGTAGGCAAAAACTTCCATTATCAAATACTACGTCGAACTTATTTTGATCCCAGTAAGTATGATATTAAAAAAAAATTTATTGTGAGGTTATCATGAGAATACTACATACATGTAGTTCTTGCGTTTGATGTAAACAAATTTTTGAATATTAATTAATGTTGGTTGCATAGTTTACCCCAAGTAAGAATAAATTAAAATGTTCTAATGAGTACAGGTACGTTTTGGAACAAATGCAGAAACGGCTTTTAATGGAAAGATAAATTCAATTTTTTATGCTACTTGTATGTGTATAATACTGTATGTTATATAAATTTTGAAATTGTCTACAAAAATTTGCTTACTGATCAACTTCATCGACTGACTTTATTTTTCAAGGGACAAATTTAAGTACAGTATGCAATAGGTTCAAGTTCTTTTGCTGCTATCATAGATGTGCCTAGACATAGAATGTATTTTGAATGAATATTTCAGTGTTGCACAGAAAACAACTATGTGAATACTGGTAGTACAATTTTTTCTGTCCCTCCTGTAATGCTTTGGCATGAAAAAATAGAATATAGTGTACATAGAAACCTAAAAGTAAGTAGTGTTAGGATAGCTTGATGAAAATACTGTTCATGGTGAAGCAAATACCGATATATTGATGAATGAATGAAATTTGCATACTAACAGATGCACCATGATTGCATTTACTCTGTAGTACCAGATAGTGCTGTTTACTTCAAAGCAAGTAGTACAGGTAAACCTGGTCTTCCAGCATGGTTGAAGTATATTCAGGAAGACCCGAAAATGGACACTGCATATCTATATGGTACTCCTACTCCATCTGATATTGGGACAGCTTCAATTGAGGTACATACATGTATATATGTTTTCATATTTTGGCTTGACTGAGTTCATTTATTCTCTAACAAGTTTTCCACCTATGCTAATGCGACAAATCTTACTTCTTCTGATTTCCTGGTCTATAACGGAATATTTAGAAGAAAAATTAATTTCTTATTAAAACAAACCATCAAGATTGATTGATATAATTTTAATGTAGCCATATTCAGTCAAGTCCCATCGAAAACTAAAAATATTCACTTGTTAGCGACTTAAGACGTCAAAGACATAAAAATACATGGTACGGTTGGGGCAGCAATTTGTACTTTCACTGTTCAAGCTGTAGCTGTAATCAAATATATTTCCTGAGTTTATGAAAAAATGGCAACATCTTCAATGTGAATCCGTTATCTTGTATTTCTTTCACCAAAGTTTAACAAGTATCAGTAAGTGAAGAAACTGTTTTCTTGTTAGTATTTCTATGGCATCTGTCTGAGAGACACTTGTATGATTAGCTTGTTTGTTGGTGTGTTTGCATAACAATTGATTTGGACACTGGCACTTAAAATTATTAGTGATGTGACACTAACTATTAGACAAAATTATTAGTGAGTGAGTGTTTGAGACAACAGAAAAAAAAAAAGTTGTTTAAAAACACCACCAAACCCTTCTCGCAACCTTAAAGTATTTCAGTTTTCAATCATCTGCTGTGTGATGGTTTTTTTTTCAGTAATATTGTGTATATAATAATTTTTTACGTTTAATAATTTGTTATATTTTGTAGATTGTAGCCTTCAATGCTGACACGTATGACACTAAAATACTAGCTATAACAATATCTGTAGAAGAAAATCATGGTAAGAATTATTCATAGCTTTGTGTGTCTTATTTATTTATCTAAGATAGAATCAATCTAATGCTCGGGGACTACAACATTTTTGTTTGTGTCTCAAATCTATACAGTCACATACAAATTCTTTTAAGGCCTTCCTCCCCAGCAGTCAAGAAGTGACTTAACTTAATTTTGGGGCTCCATTTTGACTGAAGGTTCATACAAAATAAGTCCTGTTAAGAGGGCACACTGCTCGTGTCACTCGATGATGAATCTGCTACTAGTTACTGCAAGGTTACCATGTCCTGGAATTTATACTGAGGACAGGAACAAGACACTGTGCCATTAGTAATATCCCCACCTATATGTAATAATTTTATAACTACATCTTATGGGGCTGGCAGTATAAGGGTTATAAATAATAGTTGTTCAGTGTTGTAATAAAATATACAAGTATGTGTTCCTGTTGATTAAATTTACAAACAATGTTGCCAAAGCAGATCATGAGCTGTGCTGATCTGACAAACTTGTCATTGCAGTTGTCAAAACTGCAAACAAATTAGATCACTGTGTGCAGGCCTATTGAATAACTATAAACCACCATACACTGTTGGTACCTCTCAGTTGTGCAATGAATATATTATCATTACATATTCTTATTTGTTAGTTCCAAATAGTTACTTTGTGACATTCAACGTCACCAACAAGGATGTAGGAGATATGTACAGTCCTGATCCCAACTCTGGTAAAATGACTATAGATGCGTTTGTGGGCACTGTGAAGACGATATGGTCTGATGCACAGAATCTAGCAGTGGCCGATATCACATCATCCCTAGATGCTGGAGGACGTGTACCTATACCTGGACAACCAACTGGGTATGTACAAACCATTGATCAATATCAGTGGCAACTAGATGATCTGTTACGCCAATAATTCCAATCTTAGAAGGTGAATGAATATACTGAACCCACCATAGAGGGCAGTGTTCACTAAGATATAAATCAATACTCAAGCTTGAAACATGAATATTTTTATGGGTAAGACACGAGTTGCCTAAAACTGGTTCCCAGGGAATGTTGAGTTATTTACCCAGTACGGCTAAAATGCTTATACTTGTAAGCCTGCCTCTCAGTTTCATAAGTGTACACGCTTATAATGGCGAAATTACAATAGGTGCTCTAAAAAGGAACTCCAATTTCATATACAGTCAAACCTCATTATAACGAAAAGCATTGGACCAACGTAAACAGTTTGTTATAACCGTAGTTTTTTATAACCAATTACCAATTAGCCTCTAGGGGACGCTTTTCAAACACATGATGGCTGTCGGACACCCCCCCCCCCCTCCGATTTCAGCACAAAACATGTACACAAGACACATACTTTCACATGAGAATACAGTTTTATTACTATTGTACCACTCCATCTTACAGAAACAGTTTGCAATGGAGGTTGACTTGACTTTGACCCAAGACGAGTGTATCATGTCGATGGCATCTTTAATGTTGATAATCGTCAGATTTTCACAGGCATCAAAGGGAACAAGCATTCTCTCGACTACCCGTCTACTGTAATGACTTTTGAAATTTTTTATAACCCCATATCCATATCCATCGGCTGCAATTTTGACGTTGTGTTTGGCGGCAAAAACACAAGTTTGATTGATGTCAAATTACTGACAACAGGATGGGCGAGACAGTTGTCAACAAACATCAACATTTTTCGTTTTTCAAAAGTGAATTTTCTGTCTTGTTTATGAAGCCAGTCTTGAAATAAATCACTCTTCATCCAGGCTTTTCTATTTGCTGCGTAATCGACAGGAAGGGCATCCAAACACCAAGGACGAGCGGTTTCAACTTTTCTAAGCCATCCATGTTAGCGCATAACATCACTGTTATTCGCTCTTTACTCTTTTTACCGACAGAACACCTCTTATTTTTTAAAGCCAGCGCCTTATCTGGCACGAGTCAAAAAAACAAACCAGTCTCGTCCGCGTTGAACACATCTTTCGGGTGGTACACTTCGAGCAAGTTAGGGAGTGAAGGCGTCATCTACAGTACCGGTAGTCTGAATAAGGGACGCAGCCTCGCCACACACAGATTTAAATGTGATACCATGGCAACCTTTAAAACGTTCCAACCAACCATTGCTAGCTTTAATTTCAGGATGACCCATTTTCTCTGCAAGATCTTCAGCTTTGGTTTGTAATACTGGTCCTCCGCTAGCAATATTTTGCGGCCGTGCAGTGGTGAACCATTTTAGTGGTGCTTCCTCCACATCATCGACAGCCGAGAAACAAAATCGTTTACGACTCGGAGCAAACAAGCCGTGTTCGAACATCTCTTTTATCCGAGATTTTTTTTTTTAAATTGTAGAGAGCGTACTCAGTTTGACATCAAACTTTCGGCAAACATCACCATGACGAAGACCTGATTCAATAGCTTGAATCGGCGTTTAATGCGGGTGTTCGACATGGTGAAGTCAACACTTTGCGTCTTTGTGTTCATTCATAAAAAATCACATCCATAATCTTATGTGATTTTATAGTCAGACAAGCATTGTTCGAGGTGTTAAAATTGACTGGACAGGTTAATTGTACGCAAACAGTCTTGTATGCATTGTTTATTATGCACCACACCGGATCTTAGCCAGATGTTATGATCGTAATTATCGAGGCCACTCAGGCATTTGTTCGTTATAAATGTAAACAACCCATTGTTCTCAGACGAAAAACAAGTCGCTGCAACAGGGTTTTTGTAATAAGCATTGTCGTATAAACGATGCCCATTGCATAGGAAAGTAAGCATTTCAAACGAGACCTTTGTTCGTTCGTTCGTTCGTTCGTTGTAAACGTTTTTTTCTTGTAACTGAGTTTGTACTAATGAGGTTTGACTGTACTTAGTTATACAGTTATATACCATTTTACCACCAGAATTTTTCTGCACTTTTTACTTATATTCTTCAATATTTCCGGAAATGAACTCAATTTTCAGTTTTTACTCGAAAAACTTGGCTATTTTTGTTTCAATTTTCTGAAGACTATAAATGAGACTATTTTGTTAATTTGGAATGAAAAGAGGGAACAGGTGGTGAAAGGGCTAAGCTGTTAAATTTTTGCTGCTAGGAATTTCCCAGATTCATGGTACTAATGTGTCTGAATCCTTGTCTTTATGACCCCAGTTTGATTTTTACTGACTGTACCACTTGCATAATTGAGTTGATTTACTGTAAACAAGTACAGTAAAACTATGGAAAGCAAGCTTCATCAGTGTTTTTATACGTTTGATTTCAGTGTTGTTATTCAGATTGGTTCTCAGTCTGATTTTTCTAGTGGCATTAAGAATGCGGCAGTCTCTCCGTGTGAGGCTAGTTTCCAAATATTTACTGATAATGGCTTTGACATTAATTGGTGTTATTTCAACACAACGGTAAGTATCTCACACTTTGTCACATCTTGTTAGTTTCATGTAGCAAGTTCTGGTTATCATCTTAAATTCTTGATTTTCCAATGTTGAAGTAATACGCTTTGTTTACCCAGGGTATAACCCTTTAACGCAGTATTTCCGCTGTAAACCACATCTTTTTTCCTCCCGTGTGCGAAGTACACAAACTAGTAAATAAAGTATTCCATTTTTGTACTTCATGCCTCCGATACCCTTCAGCACACAGGAATTCTTTCTAAGCTTCTTCGATTTTTTTTGTTTTCATAGTCTGAAAATGGATATCGACTATGGCAATCATTCACATTTTTTTTGATTTTCCTATACCGATCTAAAAATAAATCAATGTAGCCAACTATTTAACAATTTAAATTAGTTATTATGATTATTCATTCAATTTTCTCATCAGGTTAAAGAAATGAATGACAAGTCCACTATTAACCCTTCCCCTGTGGTTCTTGGTGCAGTCTATGTTGCACCTGTTTTGACTGTGGAAGAAAGAGATCTGACAACTGAATTCATATTGGTTGTTATAGTGCCATTAGCTGTCGCTATTGTCTTGGCTATAATATTAAGTTATATCATGTGTGCTAGACGTGAGGGAGTGTAAGTATATGTCTCTATTCTGTTAGAATATTTATGTCTATGACAGTCTGCTTCTCATAGGGAAATATGTAGATTATAGTGCTTATTTGTTGTTTATAGTGTTAAATCAAGAAAGTTTTGCTTCAAGTGTTTTAGGCTTGTGTTAAGTTACCACTGTGGAATAGAAAAATATACTTAGAGTGAAAATTAAATAATCTAAAACAATTACTAAAGTCTTCTGAAGTTTACATACAATCTAGAAACCTGCCCAAACCACCATAGATTCATAGGAACTTCTATCAGAATGACTACTAGACTTAGCAAAGCTATTCCAATTTATCATAGGCATAGGAAAGTTTCTTTCTATAGACTATCGTTGTACAAAAATTTAAAGTTCTATGCATTACTCACTGTACCGGTAATCACTATTTTGTGTTCTGATGTTTGGGACTGCTGAATCAATAACATTGCCATTCATAAATTTATACAATTAGATAAAGTAAATTAAACAGGAAATGCATCGTCTATTGGTATTCAATAATATGCTCCTCTGTATTAATTTGATGTCTCCTGTTAATTTGACACGTTCCAATCATGAGACTCGCATAGCAAGCAAGTCAGCAACTAAGCTGGCAATATTGTTGTTTTGGTGTACAAAACAATATGGCAGTGAATCATTATGAAAAATGGATAGACATTTAGGACAATTTAAAGTGAACACAGACAATGAGGATTACTTCTTGCCCACTCAATGCCACCTCATATTTGAATTTACTCCAGCATGCCCAAATAATGTATCTTTGTAGAACAGGAATTACATTTTTGTGAAGTATGTTTCAAGTGTTTACATTGTCTGCTCAAGGCCTTCACAGACATACTAAAATTAATATTAAGAAAGAGCATCTGTTAACAGTGTGCTGAAATTTTATATGAGCAATAGGTGATTTTCCGTACAATTGCGTCTGCCGCAAAAATCGAACGATTTGATTTTGAACTAGAATTTCTTTATTTCGTAGCTTACATTGACCAGCCGATCTTGGACAGAGGAATATTGCTTCCGAATACCCTTACTTAATCGAAATTGCCTATCATCAAATGTGGACAGCACATTATTAAGCATGGAAATGTTCCCGAAATACTTTCGCGTTTGTCGAATCCCACGCGATGTTTGACGCGACTACGACGCTATGACCTTTGTTTGTCCTGTTTTTACGTTCGATTTCACGCATAACGCGCGATTCTCGCAGTGTACGGAAAATGGTCTATTTGAATGAACCTAATGTAGGTGTATGGTTGTGTATATTTAGTATTAAATGAATACCAGCATAGTCTAACAAATTAACCATACAATAATTTTAAATCGAGAAGTGTCCAAATCTCATCTTTGTGATATATTTCAAACAATTTAATTTTCCATTCCAGAGAAAACCCTTTGTATTTTTGTATGATTTTCATTTTTCCCTTCATGTCTTTCCTTTTTGGCAGGGAGAAGAGAATTAATGCCACCCCAACGTAAGGAACATTTATTCTTTTGTTTTTATGATTTTGTACTTATCCCATGTCAGCCATTTTGTTTTTCACCTTTATATGAGTTGTATAGGTTTCTATAAATAGACGTCAGTGTAATGTTGTGATGTATTTTACTGTTGTTTTAATTTGCCTGGGCATTTGTGAGAGTAATGAATTGCTTGACACAAAAAACTTGTCGGCTACAATGTATCTCAATTACTGTGAAATACTTTATTTTAGCTGGAATTAAGTTTCGCTGAAAATGCAATTTGGGTGTTTTGTATGGAATTTATTTTCACTGATTTTTGACAAGTTGAATGTGAAATATACAGAAAAAAGTTATATTGGCTGGATTTTATTTTCATGGAATCATCTTTTCAGCAAAAATAGCGAAAATAAAGTATTCTACAGTATGGAAATATTTAGTTGAAGAGCCATAATTTTGAAGTGTTAAACTAACAGTAGCACAGATGTCTGGTCCATGGCAATAAAAAACAAAACCCCAGTTTCACAGGTGACATAATTGAAATGAGTCTTCACACACCATGTGTCAAAAAAATCTTTTTAGTTATTATATAAGCCCATTTTCTACTGTGATACAATAAAGCGTGTCAAGAATGGAGTACTATTTGTGTCTAGACAAGTTTTACTGTTCCATACAAGTGTTGAATTTTAAGAAGATTCACAGTATTAATTTCTTTACATTATTTATTGTCTGTAGTGTACAGTTGACTCACCACAGTCACATTAAAAATGCAACAAAGGAACTGAGAGATATGTCTATGAGAAGGGAAGGTGCTCAGCCTTTATCTACACTACCAGCGTTCAGACTGTCTCCAACTCCCGGAAGTCGTACTGGTCAACATTCCCCACCACAGGACAGGTACATGTACATGTATTTATTATTTCC